CACCCACAGTCGTCCTCCCAGTCTTTTTTTCTATACTTCTCTACCATTTCCTTGGGGCTGCGGGGGGGGGGGGGATTAGAATATAGAGGAACATATGGATCCACATCAGTAATGCTAGGATTAATATCTTCCAGCTCAATTGACATATCCTTAGCATACATAAGCCCTCCTTTTTAAAATAACCTGTCACTATTGGTGTAAGCTAAGTTAGGCTCAATCCAGACAACTAACTACATGAAGTAACATTTTATAACTTCTATAAAGAGGTCTCGTCATTTCCAACCTGACTTAAAAGGTTAAAGCATTGAATTATGCTAGAGGTGCTGTAAAACTGAATACTTCCTAGTTTAAATAATAAAAGCCACACATTTACCTTTTACTTGACAGATATATATCTAAATGTGATCAATATACTCAGAACTACACATACAAAAATGCTTGGTTTTCAGTTGAGACTGGACCAATTTCTTTATTCTCAGCTTTAGAAGCCTATATGGTCAATGTAAATGTCATAAAGTACTTGTGTTGAAACTTATAACATAGCTGAGCTTTTAAAAAAAATGTTCTCAGGCTTCAGTCTTGAATTTCTATTCTAGTTAATTACTATATGTGCATGTATTAAAGGTAAATAAATATGTATATATCTGCTTTATATGTATAAACCTTCCGTATCATGTTTTATTTTCAAATATAAAATTAATTTTAATTACATGTAACAATTTTTATTCTAACTATTTCACAAAAGTTAAGATGCTTGATTTGGGTGGAAACTGGTGTATCTAGGCCACAGGCACCTTGATTGACAAAGTCTAAGATACTCCACAGTTGATGGCCAACTTATAATAAAAAACTATTTTACTTTTAAAAGTTATGGTTTAAAGCTGGGGAAGTATTAGAAGCCAATAAGTCTAACATTGATGTTAATCATGGCCAAACTAAGATAAATGTGAATAAAAAACAACTGCAGTTTGCATGATTTCTATTTTATTATTACCCCTATTAAGCAATCACTTGAACATAGTGTTTCTTCAAACCATACTACCAGCAAAACTGCAAGGCAGAGGCTGAATGGTGCATGTTTAGCTATTAATTACCTTAGCAACCAATCAAATGACTTGAATCTGTGGTATCCCTATTTCCTGATACTTAACCTAGATATGCCATGCAGCTAAAATGGAGACCACAAATTCAGCTTGGCACTGGCAAGTGAAAAAAATTATTAATCACAATTAAAACAACTTTCAGAATCTTGCAATATAAATGGATGAAATGCAGGATAGTTGATAACTAGAACCTGCTATTCTCCTTCTGAAATGTGTATTAGCAGTTTTTTTCTATTGCCTTCCAAGTTTTACTCGAAAAACTAACATAAACCAGCAATCTATTAGTTTGCTAGCACTAATTTGCTCCTCTTCTGTTTTTAAATAAGATCAGAGTGATATTCTTAAATCTGGGCATTCCAGAAGCAATATTAGATTGAGCTAAACCATACAGATATAAATCTCATAATGGTAAGTTGCAAGATTTAGAGATTAAAAATAGATAAAGCACTAAGACCAGGCAAGGTTTTCCACAGGATTTTGTTTAGATATGCAAACCCCTAATTGCTAATGTAACTCCTGTTTTTAAAGGTGATGTGTAACAGTTGCCCTAGAAATTATAGATCAATTAGTTTTATTTCTGGAGTGGGAAAATTTGTGTGTGTGATAAGAACTTTACAAAATAATTTAATCAAATATTATATCCTAAATGAAAGCCATGGATCCACCAACAAGTCTTACTGAGCTATTACCTATTCTCAAGGGTGTTACTCGTTATCTGAATGAAGTAAAGAGGGTGTGGACTTACGAGATTTTAGATTTTTGAAAAAGTTTTGATAAGGTGCCACACAAAAGATTAGTTATGATAAAACATTGATAAGGGATTGGGAAAATGACTAGTTAATTGGATTGTAGGGTGGTTGGATGGGAGAAAGCAAAAGGTTGTTATTAGCAAATGACTCGGATCAATTATTTGGCAAATGAGCTTAATATAACAATAAGTAAAAGGTAAAGCATTTGGGTTACTGAAACATTTAATATAGACGGAAACCATTCAGTATTGTGACTGAAGAAAATTACCTTTGCATAGATAGTGGTAGATAAATCACTCAAGCCATCGAAACAGAGCTCTGTTGCTAGTAGTAAAGCTAATTGATTACAATTTAAGAAGTACTCTTCGTATATACAAATTACTGTGAATGTAGTTGTTCTTATCTATGAAAGATACTGACTTACTAGGAAAGGTTTCAGATTCTTGGGATGGATGGATTACCTAAAAGGGGGGAATAGTTTGAGATCTCTTAATTTATTTTGTCTTGAAAAAAGTTGGATAAGAGGTGATATAGGATAAAGCCTTCAATTTCTTTGTCCTACATTGGACAAAAGGACACAATTTTAAGATATGGAAACACATCTAGGTTCCAGTTAAGAGTTTTATTTTTCTAACAAAGTGATTGTATTATGGAATGAGTTAGCATCAGCAGTAGTGGAGGCCAGCACTTTACGGAAGTTTAGGAGGGAAATTGAAAGTTTTCTGTAAAACCGAGGGTGTGTTTAAAATTTTACTTTTCTCAGGGGTGGGTGTGTAAAGACAGCCTTGAATGGTCCTTCATTGTTGATGAACTATGAGCAATTTATTTCACAATCTGTTGATTTAAGACTGAGAAATTAAAACTCAACTATATTACACTTATAATGTAATGTTTAACTTGAAATTTTAATATATCTAGATTACAAAAACAGATAGTGTATTACATGTAATTACATGCATGGTCTATATTGAAGAATTCTGGGATTTATATTTGCGCTGTTTTTAATTTGATTTCCCTCTAATAATATCTTAATGCAAAGTAATACTTTTATTTTATTCTAAGTGCGTTGTATACAGAGTTTCATCATAAAGGTAGGTAAACTAATTCAACACAAGGCAGTCTGTTTTTAAGTATACAATTCATATTAATTTATCCACTTATCAGTGAATATATAAAAGGTGTTTACTGCCTATAATGTCACAACAGTAAACAATGGGCTACAAGAACTGGTTTTTGTTACACTGAAGGTGTAATCAAACTGTTGAAGGACAGCAAGAAGATTTCATTGTTGTTCCAAATAGAAGAGATGCTCTTGATTAGATTATATTCACTCAACCCAATCAAAATGTCTTTGAGCATCCTTCATGTTACTTTTAGTGGTAGTAATTATTGGGGAAATCACTAGCTACTAAAAAGAAGCTATTATTCAAAATAACTAGAATATAATTACAAGATATTATAGTTTATGTAAGAGCATAAAATAGATTCAGGGTATGTGCCCTGTGGGCCAGTGCCTAGCATAGACCTGCTAGTAGTAGTCATACCTACTACTACCTCACTCTAAATTATCAGAAATGTGTAACTTTCTTTATAATGTCTATATATGTCAGTGATGGGAAAGATTTTTTCAAGTCTGATAAAAGATGCTTTGCTAAGAAATTTAACAACATTTAAATTTTTTTGGATATAGTTTCTCTAGATCTTGTCTCACTAATCTTTTGCCATTCTTTGAGGATGTTACTGCCTAACTAGATGAAGATACAGGTGTGAATTTAGTGCATATGTATTTTCAGAAAACATCTGAGAAGATGCCACATAAAAGGCTTGTTAAACAAAAAACTCTCTGTATGTGCAGGGGATAAGTTGGTATGTTAGATAGAAAATTGGATGGATAGAAGAAAGCAGGGATTTGTTATAAATAAAGTTCAGTCAAACCAGATTAATGTAACAAGTGGAGTACCTCCGAGCTCTGTGTTAGGGCATTATTACTAAATTTGCTGATGATATTAAGATCTTAGGTGTCACTGTCTGGGTGGAGGATGCTGCTGCATTACAAAATAATTTACATTGTTTGGTAAGTTGGTCAAATAAATGGCAGATGACTTTTAATCATGTGAGTTATCATACTTTTAATTAAATGCATAATTCTGATGGGAAATACTGTTATGAAAGAAAAGGTCCTTGATGATCAATCTCTTAAGTCATCCAAGCAGTGACTATTGTTAGTGGTAGGGAAAACAGAATTTTAGATTTTATCTAAACTAATATTGCATACAAGTCTAATGAGGTTATAATTTCACTGTATAGGTCACTGGATATGCCACACTTGGAGTCCTGTGTTCAGTCTTGAGTTCCTTACTTTAGGAAGAACTTTGAGTTGTTGGAATGGGTTCACAGGAGAGCTACTAGGATGATATCTTGTATGGAGAGTTTGTCATACCAGGACAGGATAAGATCTATAAAATTGTTTTTTCTTAAAAAAAGAAGAGTTAGAGATGATCTGATCTAGACTTCTAAGAATGTTAAGGGAATTTATAGTATCAATGAATCATATTTTTATGTACTTTAATGATGAGAATGGTAGGACTATGGGACATAAATTTTGGCAGGGTAGGACTAGGAGTCATCTTCAGCTCAAAGTTATATTTTTCTAACATGATGGTTGGCCTTTGGAATGGGTTGCCTTCAGATGTGGTGGATGCAGTAAATTTAAGGGAGTTTAAGAAAAAGATTGATAAATATTTTAATGATAAGGACTGGTTTTAATTGTTTCTGTTTTGTTTTGGTTAGTTTAGTGGACGGGACAACCTAGATGGACCAATAGATCCCTTGTCCTTATTAAATTTTATGTTAATTGTTAAGTATAGCACTAGTATTAGTAAAGCATGGTTTTTAAAGCTTTGTATACTACTTTCTAGTACTACATCATAACTAGTACTACAATTTGCAAATTACAATATGAGAGTTGCTATTACCTTATCAATAATCCCCAGGTCTCCTTTTCTCATAACATCTTTAATTATTCTCCCTGCACGATTAACAACACTGACAGAAGCTGACAAAATTCGAAGCAGAACAGGGGCAGCAGAACTTGAGGCAGCCATTCAAATCCTTCTCTGCTATAGGATATTTCTTCTTAAAAACAACAACCGAACAACTTAAGAACTACCTAGCTACTTGATGAGGAAGTAGGCAAGAATCCACTTTGAAACTAAAAGTTTGAATGCGGTTTAAAAGTTAAATGGATAATGAAGTAAACTTTATTCTAAGTTGAACAAAGTACATATGTACAATGTTTCGTCAGGATTTTGTCATCAAGTACAAGTAGTTGTAAGTTCACCTACAGTCCTAGGCACAATATAAAACAAACAGCAACGAAGAAATCACATGACCAGATATTGCTTAACAGCTTAGTAAAGGTATTTCTGCATCCCGTGGAATTTGTTCAATTAAGTTAACTTTCTTGAGTTTGTGTTTGTTGATGTTCGGAGAAACCGTAAGAAAACTAGAAACCAGATTCACCGAAAACATAAAAAACCCTCCACTGTGCAACTCTATTAAAAATGCTGGAAGGTGTAATTTTAAACAAAAGAACCAAACATCAACAAATGTAAAATCATGGTAGCCATCGTTATCGAGTTGAAAACACTCCCACAGCGAACTAACACTCCAGAGTGCCAAATCTTTATCAAGCTGTTAATCTCCGGTTATGTGACCTATTTGTTGCGTACTAATAACTATATATATACAAAGAGAGTTTTGGGTAAACTATTTGTACCTGATGCTGACAAACCCTTGTCGAAACTCTGGACATTTATACTATATTAAATAAATTTATAATAAAGCTTTCTTCACTACCTATTTAAACTGCCTCCGAACTTTACTTAAATATTTGTAAAGTCATGCTACATTACTTCAGATTGCAAAAGCGCCCTCTATTCCAGTAATGATAAAAAAATATTTTCTTCTCTATTCAATGTTTCAAAAGAAAAAAAAAATATTTCTCAAAAAAAAAAAAAGAATTCACACCTCGCCCTGAACGTTTCAAAGTTCATCATTTATCTGTCAGGATTAAAGTAATAGTTTCCTCAAACACCCTACTTTACAAGGTTATCTTTTGGTGAGCATGGTACTTAATGATAGCAACATGCTGAAATAAAAAATGGCGAATAAATATAAGTATTTTTGTGATTCTTAGTTACTTTCATTTTCTCATTACAAACCGTACGATTAGTAACATGCTTATCATGTAGAGCTAATGCAATGGCATCTTGGTGTTCTGGTTGATCAGTCTCTTAAGTCTTTCAAGCAATGTTCTGTGGTTAGTAGCGGTGCAAATAGGATTTTAGGATGTATCTATAGAAACATTGAATACAAATCTAAAGAAGGTACAATGTTAGTGTATAGATAATTGGTTAGGCCATATTTGAAATAATGTGTAGCGTCTTGGGCTCCTTACCTTAGAAAGGAAATTGAATTGTTGGAAAGGGTTCAGAGGAGAACTACTTGGATGATACCTGGGATGGAAAAGTTGTCAGAGGAGGATATATTAAGATATCTGAATTTAATAATGGCTGGAGACGGCTTGAATGGGTAATGAAGAAAAACTTTAATATAAGTTGAACATAACAGCAAATGTACAACGTTTCGACAAGGTTTTGTCATCATCAGGTACGATGATGATGATGATGATGACAAAACCTTGTCGAAACGTTGTACATTTGCTGTTATGTTCAAC